TGTTCGGTGGCTTGCCCTGTAGGCATCAGTAATACTGCTGCTGAAGGCTGGCCGGTCCGAAAGGTCGCAAAACCGTAAGAGGGAGAGGGTGGGCACAAGGGTAGAACAGGTCAAGCGATTCGCATACAGTCCCTGTCCCAATTTTGGACTTAGACACCTAATAAAAAAAGATAAACTTTGCCCAAAAAGAATTCATAGTAAGAAATAATAACGAATTAATAATAATAAAAAGAATTAATTAATGATTAATAACGAATTAATACTTCTTAATAATAATCAATAAACAAGAATTGTAATAATGATCATTAATGAATTTTAAGTTGTGGAAATATTAGGTATCCGTTGAGATCATCTATGGTCCGGGAGTTCACCATTGATTAGTGAACCACCTGGAAGTTGCGATTCTGAGGGAACGATTTCGAACAGTTTGCCAAAAAAAAAATCAGATAATCAAACAGACAAAAACGGAAGATTTCAGGAATTTCAACCTCCAAGGTCCGATTTTCAACGGCCTGAGTCTGTATTAGGAATTTCTCAAACTAGGGGGAAAAAAAAATTCGCGAAAATTTCGGATTCCAACCGTAATTTTTCGTCATTCCGCGGAATTTTCGGTTTTGCGGTACCAAAACATTCGAATTTCTCAATCTGAACGAAAAACCAAAATTTATCGTAACCCTAATTTCCAATACTGAAATAAAACGGAAATACCGATTTGAAAATCGAAATACCTGATTAAAACAGAATGCCGAATGAAAAACGGAATACCGAATTTTGAAAATTCGAATGCCAAATTAAAACAGAATACTGATTTAGACAGAATAACGAATTAGAATCATAATAACGAATTAGAATCAGAATACCGAACTAAAACACAATATCGGATTAACCCGAATACCAATTAATTGGAATACCGGATTAAACAGAATACCGATTTAAAACAGAATCCTGAATTGAAAGTCAGAATACCGAATCGAAACGGAATGCCGAATGAAACAGAATACCGAAAAAAAAAAATTGCAACTTGAATCTCGATAGTAATGCAGAGCTGATTTGGAAGATCGAAGAAGCAATCTATTCCTAAATCAGACTTACCTTGTGAGCAGATCCATTATTTGGTCTGGTCCAATGCCAAAACTGTTGCATACTTCTGAGTACAACAAGTGTGGGCAGAACAAAGTGAGCAACCGATATAGTAAATAAAATGACACCCATAGACTGACTCACACAGATATCATTCCACACACAAACAATCGTGAGATGGTGGGGTCTAAGCCAATCATAGACGATGCTCAGGCCCCGTACACACATACAGAGATGAAAAGGTGGGAGGAGAGACGAAGGAGGTGGGAGATGTAGGCAGCGCCAGATGTCATCGAGATAGAATTCAGTAGGTCACCGATATAGTAGTCCAAAATGTCATCGAACAAGATAAAAATGTCGTGGACAATAAGTCACCAATGTCGGAGGTACAGAGTCCTAATGTAACCGGTGTCTAATCTGTGATGCCACCGAGTATCAACCCTAATATCTCAAAGTCTCGAGTCCGGTAAGTACCATAGCCTCCTACCACCGAAGTCCAACACTGATCTTTGTCCAACTAGTATCAAGTCTCCAGTCTGAAGAAGAGGAAGAAAAAGTTTGAAGAAGAAGGAAAGAAGAAAAAAAAGAAGAAGAAGAGAACAGAGGAGGAGAGAGGTGAGGAGGAGGGGAACCAGGGACTGTGGAGGGAGGAGGAGACCTCACCCCCGAGTACCTGGTTTACTGCAACTGCTTGAAGCCGAAGTCGGCTATGGTTGCCCGCTGTCTGGCTCCTCGCTCGCTGTTGCTGCTCCTCTACGCTGCACTAAGAATAGCGCTGACGCTCCTGCTGTCCAACTGAAACGAACTGGCGCTCTCCCAGCGTCCGGCTGCTCGATGCCTCCAAGTGAGGTCGCCCGGTCTCTAAATACCGGTAGGGCAAAGGTCGGCCTCAATGCTGCGAGGCCTGGCCTTAACCTGAACCGTCAAGATCGTCGGTTCAGATCATACCGGCGGGCGGCAGCCTCAAGAGCGCCGCCAGGCCCAAACGGTAATGTCGTTTGGGCCTGCCCGTCAGGTCTGGTCCAAAAATGCGCACTTTACGGCCTGCTGTACCCCAAGTCCGGGCCTTTAGGCCCTACTGTGTCCCCTTCGCCCTAAGTCGGGTCCGATAGGACCCATGTGGCGTCGAAGATGTAACACACTCCCCCTCTTAAAAGACCGAGCTACCTGCGAGGGCGGAGTTGTCTGTCCGATACCGGGGTGGGTCGCTCGGGACGAACTGCTTCCTTGGCAAGTCGTCGCTTCTCATAGTCGACGAAGCTCAAGAGTGCAGAAGTCTGCAAGTCTGCTCCGGAGATCCACCGAGTGTCGTCAGACGCATATTGCTTGAATGTGACTTTGAACTGCATTGGCTTGTTGCCATGCTTGCGGTGCGTGATGACTCGGTCTACTTCTTGATGTCCGTCCATAGAAGGCGGATCTTGTGATCGTCGGTCCGAAAACCATTCAGTGGAAGGTGGCGTGTAGATGGCTAGCTTCGACGCGCGGAAGACCCGGTGCACTGTGAGGTGCGGGGGAATGTTGACCACAAAGAAAGGACCTGCGGGGTCGTCTCCAACGGCATAAGTAATTTCCCATGGTCCGAACCATTTCGGAAGGAGTTTGCACGAAATGTCCTGCTCGAGCGCAAATTCATCGGAGAGGATCCAAACAAGGTCTCCCTCGCGGAAAGGACATGGAAATCGACGTCGATTGACGTCTATGTCGGCAGCCAATGGAAGAAGGAGATCAGCGAAGATCCGTGCTTTCTCGCCACCATGATGTAACTCGAATGGTGTGATGCAGATCGCCGGGTGCACCAAAGTGTTATAGGCGAACTTGATGTCGGGAAGCCGGTCAACCCAATCTTTCTGGTCGGGATGGATGAGCGTACGCAACATCATCTGAGTGGTCTGGTGTGCTCGCTTCGTCTGGCCATCCGTCTGCGGGTGCCGAGCCGAGCTCGGCTTCATTGTCGTACCGGACTCAGCCATAAGGGAAGTCCAAAAGGCCGACATGAAGTGAGTATCTCGGTCGCTCAGTATGTCTTCAGGAACACCCTGGTTGGTAATCCAACCAGTGGGCAAGAGTCGTGTGAGCTCAGGCGATGCAACATGATCCTTGCAAGGAAGGAAGCAAGCATACTTGCTCAAACCGTCGACGACCGTAAGAATACCGTCATGGCCGAGGCGATCGCGGGGGAACGGGCCTGTCACGTCCATAGCAATGGAGAGGCG